CCCCAAAACCCCAAAACCCCAAAACCCCAATGGAAAAAATTAATGAATTATAGATAATATTATCAAAATAATCATTCATAATATAAAATTACAAGAAAAAAATGCTTGCTAAATCTAAAAGCACCAAACAATTAGAGGACCCATTTATGCCTCAAATAAGCTAGAGAAACATCAGATACAGTTAGGAGAATACTCTAAACGGAAAATAGAGCATTAGCAGCATATTTGCTAAAAAGGAAAAACCTAGAAAAAAATCAAAGAAAAAAGTTCTATCACTTGAAAGACTTTCTCACATTCTTAATGAATAGCCTCATACAGTTTAGCTGACAGAGAGGCTTACCAGGAAATCCCCTGATCTATATTTACCAAAACTGCCATAAACAACTTTTCAAAAGATAACCTAATAATCCTTGAACATAATGATGGATGAACTTAATACTGAGAGGGATCAATAAAATGCAAGAAATAAAACTGAGAAATATCTGGAGAGAATTAAGTAGAAAAATATATTCGATCAATCCCCAATTTCATCTAGAGAAAGTCTTAGAATTAATAAGGACAAGCAGTAAAATTTGGAATAAGATAATTAAGACTAGACAAATAGTAAAAAACCCGATAGATATGAAGATTTATAGGATTTCGATAAGTAGGTAATTATAAAAAGAGATACTTTCAAACATCTTTAAATGGGGTAATATTAAAATGAAGAATAGAAGAAGTTTTAAATCTTAAGTGGTAGATAACTATATTAAAGATTCCTCAAAGGATGTGATAAATAGAAAATTCTGCCAAATCCAATGAGAGTATTTGATCTATAAAACTCTAATTCTGTTGTACTTAAGAGTACAGTTAATTTAGGGTAAGAAGTAATTTAAATTTAATTTTTAATTTAGTTAAAAACTTCATGGAGATAAATATGCTTCTGTTTTTAGTACAATCATTAGAGGTGCATCAGAACTGAGACTTCAAGATAGTAATTTATCATCTTAAGGAGCTGTTTCTTATCTAAAAAATATGGATGATAATATTGAAACTTTAGATCTTAGTAAAAATCCAAAAATTACTTTAGAATCTTACAAAATGCTAAAATAATTGATTGAAAATCCTTATAGAAGGATAAGGAAATTGAATCTTGAGGGAAATAAATGTGGAGATAAAGCTATCTCTTAACTTCAAGATGCTTTATCGTATAGTGAATTTCTATAGTACTTAGATCTCAGGTATTCTAAAATACATTTTAATTTTTAATAGCAATAATAATCTTACTGATAAGTGTGCTGAATCAATTAAAGAAGTACTCAAAATAAATAATGCTCTACTAGTGCTATTACTGCATTGGAATTTCTTTAAAGCTACAGGCGCAATTGAGATCTTTGATGGTCTTAAAGTTAATGATAAATTGCAAGTGTTTGATATATCTAACAATCAACTAGGATTCATGAAAGCAATGCCATAGCCAAAATTAGCTGAAATTGATATTGAGCAAGCATAGGGTAGAAGATAACTTGATATTATTGACAAGCAATGTGCACTGACAATAGGTGAAGCCTTTAGAAGTAATAATACTCTTATTCACGTTGACTTGTCCAATAATGGGCTATCAATGAAGTAGTGCAAATTTATTCATCGGTTGCTAAAGTACAATCACACTATATTAGGTCTTCATATGACTGGAAATTCTCTTGATATTGATGCTAAGGGATTTTTAAGTTAAAACTAATCAAATGTTGGTTTAAATCATATTCACACTAGATTCAGTTTTGATGATAAAATTGGAAAGATAAATGATAATGTTAAGATGGAGCTAAGAGCTTAATCTAATTGCTGGATTTGTGAAGGATGGACTTAGGTAAAATTTGAGTTTAGATTAAATGAATATGAAGAAACAAAATCTTATTATTCGAGACATATAGAGCTAGCATTTCTTTAGTTGTCTTTTGAAAACTACCAACTTGACTAGATGAAATACGATCCTCAGTAAAGAGTGTATTTCAAATTCAGAATGATTCCACCAGGAAAACTTAATTTTAATTTTGCAGTAAAACTAGTTGATCAAAATCAAACTGATCCATAATCTAATTAAAATTCTTTAGAAGTGGCAGAGTTACCATCTAAACCATAGAAGCTGCAAAGACAGAGTCTAATTGTACCAAAAACTGATATGTATAAGATGATAACTTAGAGTCATAAATAGCTAGATGATAATTACATTAAAAATTTATCTTGCCATCCAAGAGATCCTTATTTCGAAATGGATAGTGATAGTGAAGATGATGAAGAAATGTAAGAAATTATTAGTAAAGTAAGGGACTTAAAATCAAAGATAGAATAGTCAGATAGAGATAAAAGATTTCCTAAAGTTGGTGATTGTGATGATGTTTTTATACTTAGCAAGTCAGTATTTGCTGGTTACATTCCTGATGATGAAGTAAGTATTATTAGGCTAAAATATTATTTAGGAAATTTTGAAAAATTGTTTTGAATTTGATTGGAATTGCTCGAGAATAACTAACATCGTCAAATCGGAAAGTGAGAGAGCTATTTTGAAGGAATTTTTATATTCAAATTATAAAGGATTGTAAGAACATTTTTTTAGTAATCTATTCTAAAATAGAAGAGAAACTTACAAGTATTTTGCAGGTATCAGTCCAGCTAATGGAATTTTCTCATTAGGCTAGAATGCATTCTGAGAATTATCGTCACATACAAATCTAGTAGATGGAAAGTATTGCAAGCTCGCAGATATAGATGTTGAATTTGTTGCTGTAAATGCCTTTGCTAAGGTTGATACTAATCAAAATCCTGAAAGATAGTTGGTTAGATATGAATTAATGGAGATCTTAGTCAGGATCGCAATACATAAATTCTTAAAGAGTAAATAGGTAGCTAGTCAATCTCAGGCTGTTATAAAACTATTTGATGAAGGGGTCTTAAATTTCATTTCAAAATTTGATTGTGACTAATGGAGATAAAATCGACTTTGGAATCTTGAATGCCACTTAGTAATTATTCACTATAAATATGTACTCGTCGAACTATTCAAAAAATATACTGGAAAATTTGTACTACCAGGCTAGTAGAGGTTCTGTCGATATGAAGAATTTATAGATATGATTACACACTCCGGAGTTGTAAGCGAGACTTTTGGATCCAGAGAAATTGGCATCATATTTAATCTTAGCATGATGACATAAATTGATGAGTTACAATCTGAAAGGTATTTGAATATGTATATGCTAGAATTCTAAGAAGCGATAGCTAGAGTAGCTGAAAGAGTCTACAGTCATTTCAATAACTCCTAGGTTTGTTTATTTTCTAATCTTAAACATATTTATTTATTTTCTTATAGACAAATAATGAGAAGAGATCAAACAATGATACTTCAAGTGTTAAAGATAATGTAAAATATATAAATGATAACTATCTTTAGTAATCATAGAAATCTTTGGAAGATATTCATTTAAGTTTTAAGTTAGAGTAATATCTCTAAGTGCTTTTGAGAAACTGCTTACCCCAGAAAATTCAGGATAATTTTTCAAAAAGTATTTATTATTAGCTAACAACTTTATAGTGGAAAGCAAAAAATCAAAAGTTATAAGCGATAAATAAATATAATAAAAATAGTAGGATTGATGGATTATTTCTAATTTATTATTAGATGCTATAATATTGACTCATAATTATTATCAAAAATATCAAAAATAAAATAAATAAAAGCATAAATTTAGTAGTCATAAATTTATCCTTCTTTTAGAGTTGAAAATGCTCATCTCTTCAATTTTAAAAGATTCTGTAAAGGAAGATCTAGCACTTGCAGGAAGGGATTATGGCCAGCCTCCAGTTTTAAAGTTCTGTCCATTTTGGCAAGTTTAGTACCCAAAATTGTTTGTTTTCTTTTTATTGATAAAATTGCCTTAACCTTAAAAAAGTTTGCCATTGTCAAATTTTGCTTTAATTTTAAAAGCTTTCTCAAAAGGCGTAGATTCCTTATTGTTTTATAGATTTTTGTTACTATGCTATCCATTATCATACATATTGCTCTAATTGGTAATGAAAAAATTGGATTAAGTATATTAGCTTTGGTCTTAGGTGGACCTTTTAGATGATTGCTCCAAAGATTATCGTATTTCAATAAGTTTTCCTTGCATCTACTTAGTAGAAAGAGTTTTTCTAAATCTAGGTGGGCTATTTTACATTTAAGTCAGAGTTTCGCTTCTCCTGTCTTTTGTACTTTAATCAATAAATGAGTTTCTCCTGCTTATAACTTAGCTTGCTATATCATTGAAAGTTTACTAGAGGCTTGCTGAATTTTTCTCTCTTTATCTTTATCTAATAAGGTCTGATTTTTGCTACTCCTTAATCTACTTTAGTCGGTCTAAGAAAGTTTTCTCCTGAATGTTTTTCATTTCAAAATTCTCCATTTCTTTTACTATGTTTTATGAGCTTGGCATATTTTTAAATCTCATTAGTTTAAGATCAACTAGCCTTATAGCATTGCGGAAATTTCTTCTTTGCTAGCCTTATGTCTCAAACTGATATTCCTCAACCAATGGGGACTCAGGACAACTTTAACTTTCGTTCTAATAGTATAAATGCGCCTCTTAATCTCTATTCATTGCTAAATTGCTCTTGAAAATATTTGGAGATTCATATTTATTTACTCTCATACTTGTACTGTATATTGAAGAGATATCTTCTATATTTGGAATAACATTTGCTCCATTAGTCATGCTTTAAGGCATCTAACTTAGATTTTTCTTTTAAGGTTTCTTTTTGCTAGAGTTCTGCTGAGATCTTCTATATTCCAGATTCTGCTCCAAATTATCAAGACCATCATTGATTTCATCTGCTAAATTTGGCTTTTTATTAGTTTATTCTTCATCCCTTTGAGTCTTCTAGTAAATCTCATCTATAGTGCTATCATTAGGATCGCCTTTGTTGTTATGGATAAGTTCATCGATAGTATCTAATTTCAAAGTTCTTCTTTGATTCACATAATCAATGAATACTTGATTCTTCATGAATTCTCTTTCGCCTCTTTAAATTGTCCACATCATCTAGTCTCTATTCTTAGGTTGAATGATGCCTAATTTTCTTAACTTTTCTAGTTCAGTGTAATGATTGATCTACTATTTTTTGAACTTATTTTCGTAATCAATCTTCTTTAGTGATAGCCTTTAGCTCTCCTCATGATTCCTTATCATAAAATACTCTTTGCCTGCATTATTCATTGTGAGTTTTTCCACTTTAACAATTTTTTTCTTCGTTTGCTTAATTTCCTCATCTTTAAAAAACTGTTCTTAAATGTAAGGATCACTTACAGAAGAGAAATACTTTTGAAAATTGAAACCCTTATACTTCTCAGCTTATGTTTTAATGTCATATTTATTGCTTAAATCTTATAATGCTTGGAAAGCCTTATAAACTTGCATCAATCTATTATCGAACCTTGAAGAATGAACATTCCAATTTGTGGGTAAAGGGTGATTCACATTCAAACTTGAAACAATCTACCCCTTTAAATTATAGACTCTCAACTACCCTCGAATAGTGCCGACACCAACACTAAATTAATTTTAATCAAGATTGAGAACTTTAATTGCAGAAATACCCTATTATATTAGACATAGATTATTTTACAGAATCACCACAGTTGGTATGAAATTTAAGAAATGCCGAATGATCTATTTCTATCATTTTTGAAATATGATTAGCCCTCTTTAATTTTTCGTAGCCGTTTAAGACTTGAAGATTTTCTCCAAGAGGAATTTCACGATGAAATATTGCAGCTCCATCTAAATAAAAAGTTCTGTAAGGCTAGAATAAATGATGATCCCTCTAATCCATTTATATTTCAATATTACTCTATTGAATCAATTTAGTCAAATCAAAGTTAAAGACTCTTCCCTAAATAATAGATTATATATAGTATACTTATCAATCACTTACAAATGAAGTGCCAACAATCAGTAATAATAATTCATTGCAATAGCCATAATCACAATGCGATATATTTTCAAGTTCAATTAAATCAGGCCCCTTAACCTTATAAATTGGCTTATAGCATTCAATCGATACGAAGCTCTCGTCTAAGTTAAAAATGAAGATATTAAAATTAGATTCAATCACCACTAGCACTTTAAATGGCTCAAGTAGCTTAATCTTCTTGATATCTTTTATTTAATCCAAAAGCCTACAGTATCCCTGCAATTTCAGCATGTTATAAGTATAAAGCACTACTGTATTTTCAGTGGCAAAAGCTAAGATATTCATATAGAATGAAAAAGCAAAAGCAACAGGTCTGCTAAAAGATCCACAAGGATTTTTTAGTTCTTTGATAACGTCTTTCTTGAAAAAGTCTTTTTTCTGGATGTAAAATGTCCAATCTTCATAGAGAGATATCAAAAACTTCAGTTTCTAATCAATTTCTAGAAAAATAGTTGACACACCTGCTCTATCGAGCATATCATTCAAATGCTTATCACTCTAAAGACTAATCACTCTAATTAATCCCTAATTATCTCCAAAATATAAATATTTATCATTAAAATCAACCTCACAACAGCTCAAGTCTCCAGAAGTCTTAGAAAGACTCTAATATATTTTACTTTGAATTCCCGATGAAAATTCAATTATTCTTATTTCATCTCTAAAAAAACTAATTAAATGCCAATAATTACTTTAATCCAATGACTAATTGATCTGAAAAGTTTAAATAATCCAAAAACTAAATAGCGAAATCTACTTCATATTAAACACTCTCATTTTTTTTATTAGTTACAATAGTCATTTAGTTGAAATTCACTGAATTGTAATCGAAAATGTAGAATCTGTTAGAAACTGTCAGAAAATTTTTGGGACTAACTACGATTAAATCTTGTATTCTCTGATTACTAAATAAATTTAATTGAAAATAACTGAATCTTACGTCTCAAATAAATAGGTTTGAATAATAATCTTATCAGTGATTCTCCAGCATTTTATATGAGAAGTCTCATCTGATGAAATTAGCAAATCATTCAATTCTATCAAAGCTAAGCATGATATAGTTGAATCATGTCCCTTTATCTCATCACTTATAGATATCTCAGAGAAATTATCAAAGCTCCAAAGAGTTATCTTATTTGTAAAGCTTGCTGTAAATATACTCTACATTAAAAAATAAAACATAGAATTCTTACATTCATAGAACTATGGTAGCATATTTTATGGATTGAATTCTCGGCAACATAAACGAATCTTGCTTCAAGAGATCAGCTGTCATATATGACAAACTTTTTGTCAAGAGAGGATACTAAAAATGCCTTGTAAGTATTTATGTTCATTAAGCTTAAGATTTTTCCTTCATGAATTTTTTTAAGTTTAACATGATTTTCATCACGAATGTTCCATGAATACAAAGAGTTTGTCTTGTCTGTAGTTAGCCATAGATCTCCACTTTCAACCCACCAAATTTTAATTTGAAAATACTCGAGACTTGATTTCACAATTTTCTCGTATTAAAAGTCATCCTACTAATCATAAAAGCATAATGTTGAATCTCTTAAAACTAAACCCAACTAAAAATTAATATTGCTTGAACTTTTTATTTTACTCTATTGTCTTTTGAGGAATAGGCAAAGTCAAGTATAACAGTGTCCAGAGGATGATTTTCATGCTCCACTTTAATCAAATTCTTAAAGGACTTGAGATTCTTGTCATACTGAGTTATATAATCTGATTAATTGTCAAGACACAAGAGTTTATTAAGATTAGAACAATAAAATGAGCTATTTTTATTTAAGAAAATAATGACCTTACTTGGCTATTCCTTCTCTGTGAAATTATTTATCGACTTCAGCATTTAATGAAAAGAGCTTCATTTCACTATTGTCCACGTTTATCAAGTTAGGTGTATCCTAAATTATATGAGTCAGAAAGAGAAATAATTATCATAATGCTTACTAGATTGAGTTTGTAAACCATATCTCTAATATTTTTATCTTATTTTCTGGTAACTCTATCAATAGCTATTTTACTCATACTGTTTCAGTTCAGATTGGAATTAACATCCATTAAACTCTTCATAAAGAAGTCAGTTAAATCATTCCAATTAATACCTCTTTTTGTATCCTTGGATAAGCTAATTTGCTCAAACATTTGGATTACTGCGTTTGCCATGTAGATTTATTCTTGAGATTGATTGTGATGAAAGATATTGAGGAATATTAACAACAATTCATCTTAAAGAATGGGTACTGGGCAAGCTTTGAATGTACTTTCAAGTACAGTGTAAATTTGATCATTGATCTGAGAAATTAGAAAATTGACATCATAGCCATCAATTACAAATTCACCCACTTAATTCTTTTTATTAGCTATTTCTTTAATTTCCTAAGGCAAATCCTTCTCTGTTATGCTATTATTTCTATTAATTAGCGATATTCTACGTTTAGACATTTATTCTAACTTTATTTTCTTAAAAACCTTAAAATATTCTATCAATGGGGTTTTGGGGTTTTGGGG